GCCGTGGGTGTCCCCGTGTCCCCCGCCTGTCACCCGTGTCCCCCGTCTGTCCCCCCCTGTCACCCGCCTGTCACCTCCTGTCACCCGTCTGTCACCTCCTGTCACCCGCCTGTCACCTCCTGTCACTCACCTGTCCCCTCGTGTCCCCTCCAGTCCATGCCTGTCCCCTCTGTGTCACCTGTCCCCGTCACCTGTCCCCGTCACCTGTCCCCATCCCTGTCCCCTCCCTGTTCCTGTCCTTGTCCCTCCATCCTCCCCACGTCCCCCTGTGTCCCCATCCCTGTCCCCTCGTCTCTGTCCCTGTCCCCTCCCAGTCCCCTGTGTCCCCTTGACCATGTCCCCTCCTGTCCCTTTGTCCCCTCCCTGTCCTTGTCCCCCCATCCCCCCCGTGTCCCACCGTGTCCCCTGCTGTCCCCTCAGGCTGAGGCGTCCCTGCTGTCCCCGTTCGTGTCCCCTCTGGTCACCCCGTTCCGCCACGTCCTGCTGGGCCGGGGGGGTCACACGCTGCCGGCGCTGGTGGCCGAGCTGGGGACAGCGGGGACCCGCGGGGACAGCGTCCAGCGGCGCCTGGCCCTGCTGGCCTGGACCCTGCGCGGCGCGGCCGCCGCCATGGCCGGCACCAGCTGGGACCGCGGGGACCTCGGGGACAGGGGCGGCCTCGGGGACAACGGCGACTGCGGGGACCCTGGGGACACCGGGGACAGCTGGGGTGGCCTCGGGGACCCTGGGGACACCGGGGACAGCTGGGGTGGCCTCGGGGACCCTGGGGACACCGGGGACAGCTGGGAGCGGGAGGACACGTGGGGTTATGGGGACACCTGGGAGCGGGGTGGCCCTGGGGACAACAAAGGGGACCTTGGGGACAGCGGGATCCATGGGGACACCGAGGATGGGGGTGGCCTTTGGTGACACTCGGGACGGTGGGGACAACCGGGAGAAAAGGGGACACTGGGGACAAAGGGGACACTGGGACAGAGGGGACCTCGGTGGTGGCCTGGGGACACCTGGGGACACCTGGGGACACCTGGGGACACCTTGAGGACACCTGGGGACACCCTGGAGACACCTGGGGACACCTTGGGGACACCTGGGGACACCCTGGGGACACCTGGGGACACCTGGGGACACCCTGGGGCACAGCCCCACCCCTCATTTGCATCAGCCATGTTTATTGGCTGCGACCCGGGATTGGGGACAATAAAAGCACCGAGGGGCCACGCCCATTGCTGGCCACGCCCATTGCTGGCCACGCCCGTCGCTGACCACGCCCACGCGCCCACGCCCATGTTGGTCCCGCCCACTTGTGTTTGACCACCCCCCCATTGGTGGCCGCGTCCTCACAGGCCCCGCCCCTGAGATTGCCCCAGCCAGGCCCCGCCCATTGGGTGGGTGGAGCCACATTGTCCTGGCAGCCATATTGCAATGGCAGCCATATTGAATTGGCGGCCATATTGCGATGGTGGCCATATTGCAATGGCGGCTGTACTGTGATGGCAGCCATATTGAATTGGCAGCCATATTGAATTGGCAGCCATATTGAATTGGCGGCCATATTGAATTGGTGGCCATATTGCGACAGCAGCCACATCCTCCTGGCGGCCATATTGTCGTGGCAGCCATCTTTCTCCCCCACCAGCTGCGTCCCTTACCGCCGGTCCCCGGCGGCCATCTTGCTGTGGGCAGGGCTGGGGGCGGGGTCAGCACTGGGGGTCCCCTTTGGGGGGGCTCCGGAGGCTCTGGGCGCCCTCCAGGATCCGCTGCTGGTGCCCGGCCAGCGTCACCCCCATGCGCAGCAGGTCCCTGGGGAGGGACACGGGGGTCACCGCGGGGTCACCGCGGGGTCACCGCGGGGTCGCCGTCACCCCCCTCGCCCCCCCGGGCCCGTACTCGCTGCGCAGGCGCGGCAGCAGCTCCAGCGCGGTGACGCCGGCGCTGCGGAACGGCTCCTCGTACCCGCCCAGACCCAGCCCCCGCAGCCACTCCCCCACCGAGGGGCCGGGGGCGGCCGTGGGGCCGGGGGCGGCCGTGGGGCCGGGGGGGCCGCGCTGCTCCAGGCAGGCCGGGGAGGAGCTGCGGGGACAGGGGTGGGGGTCAGAGCCACGGCTTGGGGACCCCCTCCCCAAATTCAGGTGTTTTTGGGCCCCCTCCCCAAATTCAGGTATTTTGGGGCCCCCTCCCCAAATTCAGGTGTTTTGGGACCCCCTCCCCAAATTCAGGTGTTTTGGGGCCCCCTCCCCAAATTCAGGTGTGCCGTTCCAGCCCCATCCACCCTCCAGCCCCCACCCCAAATTAATCCAGGTGTCCTGAGACCCTCCCCCATATCCTGCCCCCCCCAGGTGCGCCCCCCGCCCCAGCTCACCTGTGGGGGTCCGCGGGGGGCGCGCGGAGGCTCTCGGGGCGCCGGATCAGGCGGTCGAGGGCGCGCACGATGTGGGGGAAGGTGGGGCGGGCGCCGCGCTCGCGCTGCCAGCAGTCCAGCATCAGCCGGTGCAGCGCCGGCGGGCAGCGCGGCGGCGGCGGCAGCCGGTAATCCTGCTCGATGGCGTTGATCACCTGGGGGACAGGTGAGGGGACAGGTGAGGGGACACAGGTGAGGGGACAGGTGACAATCCTGCTCGATGGCGTTGATCACCTGGGGACAGGTGAGGGGACAGGTGAGGGGACAGGTGAGGGGACAGGTGAGGGGGGACACAGGTGAGGGGACACAGGTGACAATCCTGCTCGATGGCGTTGATCACCTGGGGACAGGTGTGGAGGGTTTGGGAGCATTTGGGCATTTTGGAAAGGTCTGTGTGACCCCCGGATTTTGGGGTCACTCCTGTCGTGGCCGGACACGTCCCCGCGTGGCGGCGCCTCCTCGTGAACCCGCTTTTGGGGGTATCTGGGGGAAGCTGGGGATTTTGGGGGAGCCGGGGGCACCCCGGGGGTTTTGGGGTCCCGGATCTCGGGGTGACTCACGTCCTGGTTGGACATGTCCCAGTAGGGCCGCTCCCCGAAGCTCAGCACCTCCCACATGACGATCCCGTAGCTCCAGGCGTCGCTGGCCGAGGTGAAGGTGCGGAACGCGATGGCCTCGGGGGCCGTCCAGCGGATCGGGATCTTCCCGCCCTGCCCGGGGGGGTCGGGGGCTCAGGGGGATCCCAAAACCCCCGGGAAACTCTGAATCCCCTCAGGGAATCCCCAAAACCCCCGGGAAACCCCAAACCGCTCCGGGAAACCCAAAACCCACCCGGGACCCCGCTCCTGGCGGCCCCAGATGTCCAGGGCTGAATGTGACACAACTGTGAGACCCCAAAAACGACCTGAACCCACCCCCTAAATCCAGCCCCAGCTCCCTGAGCTCACCTGGGATGGGTGAGACACCTGTGAGACCCCCAAACCAACCCCAAACCCACCGAAATCCCCCTGTGAGACCCCGAAAACAACCCCAAACCCACCAAAATCCCCCCGTGAGACCCCCAAACCAACCCCAAACCCGCTGAAATCCCCCCGTGAGACCCCCAAACCCCCCCAATCCCCCCGTGAGACCCCCAAAGCAGCCCCAATCCCCCCGTGAGACCCCCAAACCCCCCCAATCCCCCCGTGAGACCCCCAAAGCAGCCCCAATCCCCCCGTGAGACCCCCAAACCCCCCCAATCCCCCCGTGAGACCCCCAAAGCAGCCCCAATCCCCCCGTGAGACCCCCAAACCCCCCCAATCCCCCCGTGAGACCCCCAAAGCAGCCCCAATCCCCCCGTGAGACCCCCAAACCCCCCCAATCCCCCTGTGAGACCCCCAAAGCAGCCCCAAACCCCCGCAGTCCCCCCCGGAGCTGCCCCGTTCCCGGCGGGGCTGGCACCGGGCTCTCACCAGCGAGCTGGTGTAGGTGGGGTCGCTGTCCCTGTCCCCGTCCAGCGCCCGGGACAGCCCGAAGTCGGACACTTTGCAGACCAGGTGAGCGTCCACCAGGATGTTCCGCGCCGCCAGGTCCCGGTGCACGAAGCCGGCCTCGGCCAGGTAGCGCATCCCGGCCGCGATGCCGCGCAGCATGGCCACCAGCTGCAGCGGGGACAGCGTCCCCTCCCGGCCCTGGGGACACCGCGGGGGGACAGCGCGGGTCACATCCCCGCGCCCCTGGGGAAGGTGTCGAGTGACCGTCCCCAGCATCCCCAAAGTCCCCAATGTCCCCAGTCCCCAATCCCCAATGTCCCCCAATGTCCCCAATCCCCAAAGTCCCCAATGTCCCCCAATGTCCCCAGTGTCCTCCAAGTCCCCAGTGGCCCCAATCCCCGATGTCCCCAATTGCCAATAATGTCCCCAAATGCCCTCAGCACTGTCCCCACCCTGAGAAAAGAAGCAAGGGCCCCATGTCCCCAATGTCCCTGAGATCGCCAATGCTGTCCCCAATGTCCTCAGTCCCCCAGGGCTGTCCCCAGGCTGTCCCCACCCTGAGGAAGGCACCAAGGGCCCTGTGTCCCCAATGTCCCCAATTCCCCCAGTCCCCCCAATGTCCCCAATGTCCCCAATTCCCCCAATTCCCCCAATGTCCCCAATGTCCCCAGGGCTGTCCCCAGGCTGTCCCCACCCTGAGGAAGGCGTCCAGCGCTCCGTGCAGCAGGAACTCGGTGACGATCATGGCGGGGGGCCCGGCGCTGACCACGCCGCGCAGCCGCACCACGTTGGGGTGCCGGAACTGCCCCATGCGCGCGGCCTCGCGCAGGAACTCCCGGCGCTGCCGCTCGCCCGCGCCGCCCTTGAGCGTCTTCACGGCCACCTCGGCCTCGGGCTGGCCCGGCAGGGACAGGCGCCCGCGCCACACCTCCCCAAATTCACCTGCCACAGGTGGCACTCGCCCGTCACACCCCAAAATCCCCTCAAAGCCACCCCAAACGCCCCCAGAAACCAAACGAAATCCACACAGAACCGCTTAAACCCACCCAAAATCCCCCCCAAAACCCCAAACTCGCCTGGGGGACCCCGAGACCCGGATAAATCCACCCCAAAACCCCACCTGCGCAGCCCCGAACTCGCCTGAGACAGGTGGGACTCACCTGTGGGACCCCAAAATCCCCCAAGACCCCCAGGGAGAGCCACTCATGCCCCCCGAATGCACCTGGGCCAGGTGAGACACCCCAAAACCCCCCCGAGCCCCCCCCGAGGCGCTCCCGGGGGTTACCTGCGCCGATGACCTCCTCGATGGTGACGCAGGTGACGTCGATCTCCTGCGCAAAGTCCCTCAGGGCCACCTCGGGGTCCTCGTAGGTCAGGGGGTCAATGTAGAGCTTCCCACCTGGGCGGGGACAGCGGCGTCACCCGGGGTCACCCGGGGTCACTTGGGGTCACCCGGGGTCACCTGGGGTCACTTGGGGTCACCTGGGGTCACCCGGGGTCACCTGGGGTCACTTGGGGTCACCTGGGGTCACCCGGGGTCACCTGGGGTCACCTGCTGCCACCCCCCACCCCCGCAGGGACGCTGAGGAGCATTTTTGGGGACATTTGGGGACATTTTGGGACGTTTGGGGTCCCCCCTTACCGAGCCCCCCGGGGACGGGGCCGCGCCGCTGCTTCTCTGCCCGGAGCCGCCATCGCCTGCGGGGATGGGGGGACACGGGGATGGAGACCCCAAACAGCCCCAAAAAACCCCAAATCCACCCCAAACACCCCAAATCCACCCCAAACACCCCAAAACCCACCCCAAACCCTGCCCAGACCCCTCCAGAGACCCCAAACACACCCAATTCCACCCCAAACCCGCCCCAGACCCTCCCAAAGACCCCAAACACCCCCAAACCCACCCCAACACTCTCCAGAGACCCCAAACACCCCCAAACCCACCCCAAATCCACCCCAAGTCTTCCCCAGAACCCCCCAGAGACCCCGAAGACCCCCGAATCCCCCCCAAACCCTCCCAAATTCCTCACCTGAGGCACACCAGGGTCCCCCCCAGCAGCGCCAGCACCAGGAGCCCCCCCAGGGCAGCGGCTCCGGCCACGACCCCCCCGGGACCGCCCCGGGACCCCTCTGCGGGAAAAGGGGGGGTCAGGGGGGTCTGGGGGGGATTTGGGGGGGATTTGAGGAGGTTTGGGGGGGATTTGGGGAGGTTTGGGGGGATCAAAGGAATGTGGGGGCGTTCTCAGGGGTGGTTTTTGGGTGTCTGGGATGTTTTGGGGTACTTTGCAGCGTTTGGGGTTGTTTTTGGGGTGTTTTGGGGTGGTTCTGAGGTATTTTTAGGGGAATTCTGGGGTCTCACCGCTGCCCGGGGCGCTGACGGTGGTCTCGGGCCCGAAGTCGCCGTAGCCGCCCTCGGAGCGGGCGCGGACCCTCACCCCGTAGAGACCCCCCCGGCGCAGCCCCCCCAGCTCCGCCCGCGGCCGCGGAACCTTCAGGAACTGGGGGGGCCCCTCCCCGCCCCCCAACTGCGGGGGTCAGGGACCCCGAGAAACCACAAATCCCTCCCCAAATAACCGCCCCAAACAACCCAAATCACCCCCAAAATAAACCCCCCAAAATAAACCCCAAAATCCCCCAAAATAAACCCCCCAAAAAACCCAAAATCCCCCCAAAATAAACCCCCCAAAAAACCCAAATGCCCCCCAAAATAAACCCCAAAAAAAACCCGC